TCCTTCCTTCCTTCCTTCCTTCCTTCCTTCCTTCCTTCCTTCCTTCCCACAAACTGAACATTGAAAGGCAGAAATATTTGCTCCATTCTGTTTCTTTTCTCTGGCAAGTCTCCCCTCAATTGTTTCCCCCCTCCCATGAGAGATATGCATATTTCATTTTGTAAGAAAATTACCGCACACATGTGATTTATTTATTTTTAGTTAGAAGAATTATCAGTGGAAGTGATCCACCAGGTTGAAAACAGGAGAAATCACCTTCCTTAGTAAACTTTGATTTGATCTTGAGGTAGAAGAGCCGTTAAGGTGCCAATTGGATGGCTTTTATGTGTGCAGCTATGACTGGAGGAATTAATCAGCGGGTTATTAATTAGGCTCATGCATCATGCAAAGTCATGTTTTGATTAATCATACTTTTTGAGTAAGTTGTAAGCTGGTTCACATCATAATGTACAATAATCTAAACTTAGTCATATTTTGGCTTGTTGTGATCTGTGAATCAGGCCATCTTTTGGAAAACGGCACTAAATGATACATATACTTCAGATCTTTCTCTCAACCTGAGGTGTGGATAGAGGCCAAATGTTGACTATGAATAACTAAGGATAAAGCATTTTTTGGGAAAGCTATACAATCTAGAGTAGGGCCTCAGCCTTGCAGTTACTCCTTTTAATGTACCTGACAAAGACATATTTGGGAGAAAGACGGAGGAAAAGAAAACATGCTTTGTGTTGCAAGCAAGAAAGAAGAAAATAATTAGAGATTTTGATTACAGGAAGTCCCCAACTTTACAATCACTTGTTTAATGAATGTTCAAAGTTACAAGGGCACTGAAAAAAAGTGACTTTGACCATTTCAGGATCCTGCTTACGTGATCAAAATTCAGATGCTTGATAACACACTCATATTTATGACAGTTGCAGTGTCCCAGGGGGGGTCATGGGATCCCCTTTTGCGACCTTCTGACCAGCAAAACCAATGGGGAAGCCAGATTCACTTAACAACCGTATGACAAACTTAACAACTGCAGTGATTCACATAACTGTGGCAAGAAAGGTCAAAAAATGGGGCAAAAACTCACTTAACAACTTAGTAACAGAAATGTTGGGCTCGGTTGTTGTAAGTCAAGGACTAGCTCTACTGCAGATCATAGTGAACAGCTTGGAGGGGTTGTCATGAGGAATCACGATGCATGGGGTTGAGGTACACCCTGGTTGTGTCTAGAATTACTTGAATGGGTCTTTAGAACAGACCCTGTTTTTGCTTTAGACCTTAAACTGGAATGATTGTGTTTTTCTTTTTTATAAAGCATTTGTCTTAATGTTGTTTGTTTCAGTAAAAACCAAAAATTGGAATGTTCAAAGCTGATTTTTGCCTATAGATCTTAAGGAGATCTTGGGGTTCGCCACAAAAAAAGTCAAGTTATGCACTTACAGCTGCTAAGTTGATATTTTTGATATTCCGTGGATACCCCTAACTCTAGGACGGGATCCCCCAAACTTGGCAACTTTAAGACTTGTGGACTTCAGCTATGCTGGCTGAGGAATTCTGGGAGTTGAAGTCCACTAGTCTTAAAGTTGCCAAGTTTGGAGAACTCTTCTCTAGGACACCTTGTGTCTTTATCCTGCAAAAGAGTGGAATGTAAATGTAATGAGATAGGTAAAGAATTAAGGTCCAAAATCATGACCAATCATGACCGGCTGTACGTTGATGGCATCTACCAGTCCAGTATCTGATTTTTTTTTCATATAAAAGATGTCACACATCAATGGTTAGATGGCCTAGACATTGGTATTTGAATATAGATTGGTTTAACATTTATATTTGTGTTTTATTAATCTAGGTGAAATGCTAACATATATTGCAAGTTCATACATAATATGCCATATGGCAATGTTTCTCAACCTTAGCTACTTTAAGACCTGTCCACAGCCGGGAATTCCTGGGAATTGAAGTCCACAGGTCTTAAACTAGCCGGAGTGAGACACACTGCCGAATGCTAAATAAATAAGATTAAATAAATAAATGATAAACAAATAAAGCAGAGGGTGGGGAAAGTCTCAGTGAGCACCATTATAGGTTCCATTAACAGTCTCACTGCTGGGAACTGGTTTGTTTTGGAAGATAACACCATTAATGGAGACTACTGTGTTTGTAAGAGCCATGGTGGAGCAGTGGTCAGAATGCAGTATTGCAAGCTAGTTCTGCCCACTGCCAGGAGTTTGATTCTCAACAGCTCAAGGTTGACTCAGCTTTCCATCTTTCCGAGGTTGGTAAAATGAGGACCCAGATTTTTGGGGGAAATAGGCTGACTCTGTAAACCTCTCAAAGAGGACTGTAAAGCACTATGAAGCGGTATATAAGTCTAAGTGCTATTGCTTGTGTTGAGCATTGTGAATATTACATGTAAAAGGCACACCTCTGTCCCCCTCTGTCCCCATTCTTGCTTTTTTCTCAAAAACCAGCCTTCCCCAGCTGCTGCATCTAACCTGTGCTGTGACTGCAACATTCAAAACTTCCAGCAAGCATACTGACCACGAAGATACTTGGTGAGCACCGTGCTGGAGAAGGTTACTCTAC